AAGGAAGGAAGGAAGGAAGGAAGGAAGGAAGGAAGGAAGGAAGGAAGGAAGGAAGGAAGGAAGGAAGGAAGGGCTAGTCTCTTTTGATATCAGAATTCTTGTTAATTACATCATTTTGTGTTCTAAGGCTAAAATAGATATGTAATTATTTTGGTTTCAGCTTGAATAAGCTCTCAACACCATTTATTTTATTCCATTCAAAATAGGAAGGAAAAAGAATGATGATTATTTGGATATGTGCATACACTCTGTTAATGATTAGCACTGATTTTTCATGGGTGTACTGTAAACATCCCAAATATTGTGGTACATTTGGAATACATCCTTCTACATAAAACATCATTGAAAAGCCTGGCCTTTAGCCAACATTTTGTTTCCCAATAAAGGTCATCTAAACCAATCTTAACTCGGTTTACACAATTACTTGGATTATGTTACAAACCTTCACAATGGGAAATACTGCATTTGTTGTCAGGACAATTGATCTTAAAAGTTATGCAACGATATTTATTGGTGCACAAATGCGTCAAGAGGTTTCTTTGCATTAATTCAGCCTTCTATGATATAAAGAGGATGACCTTGGTGAAGAAAGGGAGAGAATCCATTACTAAGGCAAAAAAGAGTTAAGCAAAAAGCCAGACAAGGAGGAAGAGAAAGTAAATTTAGATTTGCAAGATGCTGTCACTGTAACCAAACTGAATAAAATACGTTTCTTTATCTGGTCCAGAGTTAACGCTCATTCTTGCCCTTTCCTGTTGGCCATTCCACTGAATCACATCCAATCAATCATTTTTTTCTCTTTCTTCCCCTTGATTCTAACTGGTTATGTATCCGCACAGTTAAATAAGTTAGATGATTCTTTAGCATTGTGATTTCTCAGGACCAGCAAACAGGTTTGTACTTATACAAACTTATACTCAAATGCCAGTCATAATAGATAGATAGATAGATAGATAGATAGATAGATAGATAGATAGATAGACAGACAGACAGATAGATAATAAATTTCTCATGCTAGCAGAAAAAGTTAAACAAGATAGCTTAATCCATGATCTATCTAGTACAGCATGTGAACAAGGGTTTCCCAGGTCTTAGCTAGATGCTCTCATGAGCTTTGCTTATGACCACTTATTTAGGGTGTATTTATTACAAATTTATTGCATATTTCAGGATAAAATGAAAAAAAATCTACTAAAAGCAGCTTTCAAGCAGCATTAACAATATTGAACTAAATTATAATGTCTATTTAAAAACAACACATTTCTGAATTCCTTTTTACAGGGCAACTGATGTTAACACTACAGACCAGAGGTGGTATTCAGCAGGTTCTGACCAGTTCTAGAGAACCAGTAGCGGACATTTTGAATAGTTCGGAGAACCAGCAAATACCACCTCTCACTGGTGATTTTACAGTATCCTTCCCCTGCCAGGCCCACCAAGCCACGCCCACAGAACCAGTAGTAAAAAAAATTTGAATTCCACTACTGCTACAGACTGCTACATTCACTAAAATGCAGCCAGTATGGACTAATCCTTAATTCTAGGAATAGAATTAATTTTAGAAACAGATCAATGGCTTCTACATTCATGCTTCAGATTGTTCTA